ATGCACGGTGTTGCTTTGGACCGACAAAAGCTCTAATTGATTATATTCAGTTTCGGAAAAATAGAAGTGACCATGGAAAGCACATTATAAATACGATCAAGTACCAGCTGTATGTTCCAACCGTACATTTACAAGAGATTTTGATGACATATTTAGTTCCCTTTAAAACACGTCTAAATGCTAAGTAATAACTTGCATTGATTCAATGATTTTTAGGTTATATATATATGCTTCTACTCTTGATGTAGCCATATACTTTTTTCTGAGAATTAAAAACCGTTATCATAATACAATAACAATTTCTATAGTTGGAGGAAATTACTCCAACTAAATGAGCTCATTATCTCTATTAAGAGCCAAATACATGCAAACATTATATGCACTTATCACTTTGAAAAAAGCCCTCGAAATAAGCTCGCGTTTGGAAGTCTATTCCAAAAAGTGCCACCTTTTTTTTTTTTTTTTTTTCTTTTTCTATAATAAGATTTTGGTACATGACGTTGGACTATTGATGAACCCTTTAAGCCACTTTTCCAATCATATTAATGGGTGAAACAATATTCTAATGAAAACTTTGCCCCTCGACTAGCGTGTTCGAAACTTCTTATTCGGCAAACTTCCTTTGACACAAAAATAAAAGTAAGATAAAATAAAAAGTAGGATCAGTGCGCTTCTTTGTGAATTTCGACTAAAAGAATATATATATACATGGAATTTTTAGGATAGTAATTTATGGGCGGTTCTATAAATAATTACTGCTTTTGTCATGAAAAAAACAAGCATCTCTACGAATTGATTCGCATTTCTTATTTCAATGTTGTTTTTATCTCCTATCGATGTTACGGATCTTCGTCTACGGCACGCTCAAGCGCGGCTTCAGCAACCACGCGCTAATGCGGAACCCAATCTCCCACAACGACGCCGCTTTCATCGGTACATATCGCACCCTTCACGCCTACCCTCCCGTCCGCGACGGGGTTCCGTACCTGATCAACCTCCCCGGGCGAGGCCACCGGATTCGCGGTGAGCTCTACACCGTCACGGGCGCAGGCCTGGAGCCCCTCGACGACCTCGAGGGCGTCGCCGTCGCCCACTACGACCGCTACCGATTCGAGTAGTCGGAGTGCGCGACGGCGTCGTTTTGGGGAGGCACTGTGGGAGAGGAAAGGCAGGAAGGGACTGAGTGAGTATTCGGAGAGAGAGGTGGGGAGGTTCCTGAAAAGACCTAATAAGCCTCACGACACGAACGAAGGTAGGGGTCTTCTTGAGTATTCGCCTTTTTGTGGCTTCTTCTCCGTCGGATGGGAATTGAATTTATCTCCGTTCTTGATTCTAGCATGATTATTAATTTTTTTTTAACTATCATAAATTGTATCTGTTTCTCCAGATATCTGTTTAATCATAATTCATAAGTTGATTGATTTCCCACTATACTCTACGTGTTAATTGATCAGCTAGCGCATGTACACTCTTGTATTCAATAAAAGATCTCATGACCATGTAATCCTATTTGTGCTCTTTAGCCTAAGGTTTCGTTTATTTTACCGATTCGAATTTAGAATTCAAGTTTTGCTACAGTAAAAAGCTCTTAAAAACAATCACATTTAACTTTTTTGTTGCAGTAAAAAACTCTCACATAAAGTCACATATCAATTCGAATTAAAAACTCAAATCAGTGAACTAAATGGGCTATAAATCTCCACGGCCTCTTACAAACGATCAGTTAATACCACACACACATTTAATATTTTTCTTGAAAAAGAGGGTACACACACTTATTATTTATGTCTATATATGATACATCCAAACTATAGTAAATAGTACAAAAATTTCATAATAAAGGTTTTTTTTTTTGTCTAATCACAAAAGGAGCTAAGGTGGTGCACGTCACACCCCCATCCTTTTTGGGTATAGCAGCAATCTCGGAGATTACTGAGGAATAGAAAGTACCTAAATCATACGCCATCCGTCCATCCAACCAAGGTTCTCCCACCTTGCCATGAGACCTACTTAATTTTCCTATATTGAGCAGGATACACTAGAGGATGTGGAGTATCGAAACCTAAAAAGATAGAAAGAGGAGTCTTAACAAAAGCATCTTCACCACAACACCACAACCCTAGTGGTAATGTGATCATGTAGTTAGTACCAGTAGTATAACTTCCAACGTATTTGGAGAAATCTGAGCTTTAGTAGCTTCGTTCGGCCCTTTGATCTTGGAGATCATGACACAACTCTACCCTTCACCAAACTTGCAGAATGTCTCAACGTCCCCAATGCTTTTCTGGTCCCATATGAGGTCTAGTATTGAAAACATTGTATGCGTTTGGGCTCGAGTTTAGAGCAATCCCATGCATTCAACCTCTCTTTTTAGTCATTTAGCAATTGTAATTTTAGGGCGTTTCACAGTTAACTAAACACTCGAAAGCTTATCCAAAAACAAAAAAAAAACCCGAAAGCTTGATATAATATAATTTAAGGAAATTACATGGTATCCCACTGATATCCAAGAGTTTTTTACATTTATGCCACTAAACATAATGGTATGTTTTGGTAGGAGGGAAAGTTGGAGGGAGGAAAAGGAATGGAGAGAGAGAGAGGCGGAAGGAGAGCCAAAATTTCTTGTTTGGTTGGAGGGAGAGGGGGAGGGAGAGGAGAGGTGGAGGGAGACTCTCCATCCGGGCTCACTATTTTGCATTCCTCCTCTAATAGAAGGATGCATACAATATTCTCATTAAAGATTAAAAAAGACTATTTTATCCTTAAAAAGTTTAGTACGAACTTAGTTAAAAAGACAAAAAAGTAATTAAACAAATATTCATCATCCATCCTTTTAACTTTTCATCATCTACCAAACAACACAAAGGATTACCATAAGCATCTTCATCCCTCATTTATTCTCCATCCCTCTAACTCTCTCCATCTCTCAGAGTCTAAATCTCAATTATTAGCATAGATCTTAATTAGTTTATATTATTGGGTGACATAAACATAAAAATCTCATCATTTCAACTGCATTTATAGAGTTTCTCCCTAATATTAATTTTTAAAGTGGTTTTATTCACACGCTCCTTTTTACATTCCATACCCTTTTTAAATTAAAATTTATTATCACAAAACTACACTCTTTTATATCAAAATTGTCTTCGCTCTGAAGCCAAATTTAGAGGGCCACCAGAGGAAGGTATGATTCACTCATTTGAGCAACTTTGACTCTTTGAAGCATGAGAGTTTTGTCCTGTAGCAGATAGGAAGGCTTTAGAGCTTGGGCTATGGTTTTTTGGGGCGGGGGCTGCCAAAGGTAAGAGGGAGAGTTATTGGGCTTATTTTTCCATCATCCATTTATTTATGGGAAATTGCAGTGCATAGGCCAACATTTAAAACTTGTGGAAGTAAATAACTTATTTACTGAGTATTAGAAATAAATAGGCCATTTGCAGTTTTAAACCTTTTATCTTCCAATTTTATCCTTTTTATAGGATTTGTTGTTTTTTTTTCTTTTCTTTCTGGAGCCCTCTCTCTACTGACTTCTCTCTCTTTTCTTCTCTCGTCACCAAACAGCTCCCTCTCTTTCTCTCTCTCTTCTGATCTCCCTACTTCTCTCCCACACTCCCTGACTTCTCTCTGTCCCTCCCTAACTTCTCTATCTCTCCTATGGTAAAATCTAAGCTCAGACCTCACCGTCAAGACTCACGACGGTGTAGTCGAGACAATGCGAACCCTTTCCATGATGACGAATTTCATTGATCTGTAGCCAGATCTTTTTGCCTTTAGATCTCTGCCTTCAGTGTTAGTCGGCATCTCATGTACTGTGGTGGCCATGAAGAGAACATAGTGTTTCTAGAATAATTTGAATATATGTATTTTAAGCAATCTGTGCTTAAAAATAATAATAAATTGTTAATCAGAATGTAAATTTGTGTCATTTGGTTTGAATCTCTTAAGGTTATTATTGTTTTGATTAGTTCTATTGGCTATTAATGTTCGGGTTTTGCTTTGTGCTGGGTAAGACAATCTGATTGTCTAGTAGATGTTTGATGAATTGCTTGATTTTATAGCCTGAGTACAATGAACGTAGAGAGAGAAAGATAGAGCGCAAGAAGAGAAAGAATTTTGGTTTTTTCTTAGGTATCATTTTAATTTTTTTACACATGGACACTTTTGTAAATTTAAGTGCTGGTAAATCCAGATGAACAATAAATGGTCTATTTATTAACTATTCCATAACTTTGGATTATTAATTCTTATTACTCTCTTAATTAGGCCTATTTCCCTCCTTCTCCCTTTATTTATTTTAATCTAATTAAACCCCAAGTGTGGTCAAAACTAATAGAGAAATCTTCACAAATACTCTTTAAAGATGTATGAATCTTGTGGAATATCAAATAATTTTGATTATGTTACAGTATTTTTTTCTCATAAAAAATTTAAATTTTAAATGCTAAAATTAAGAATCACTAGTTTAAACGCATGAACCAAATGGGCCCTTAAGTTTTACCCATTATTCTTGACTAATACTTTTTTTAGCCAAATAACTATATCAACAAAAGAGTATTAATTAAGAATAAGAGATAAAAATTTAGACCCATACAATTTTAAGAGTAAGTTTAATAATTTTCTCAATTCTAATCAAAATCACATCAGATTAAAAATATAAAGAGTAAATATTTTTTTATACAAATTTAATGACTGAAAAGTAGAGAACCATCTATAATTTATTTTTTTTAGATCTTACTAAAAAAACTCTTTTTTTAATTTAAATTATCTCATAAAAGTTATGCCCATTTTTTTTTTTAGAAAAAAGAAAAAAAATATTATTAAATTTTTTTAACTATTAATATATTTTTTAATTTTTATGTAATTTTATATAAATTTAATGGATAAAAAACTTAACTCATGACTGATGGAGAATGTTAAAAAAAAAAAAATTTAAAGAATCTAGCCAAAACAAAAAAATAAAAGCAAAAAACAATACAATAACGAAATGATTGCCATTCCTTACTTTTACTTCAGTTTTCTGCCATCCAAAAGGTTGTCCTCCGTCTCTGTAGTAATCTCCCATGGATGATCCCAAACAGACACTGATCTTCACCTACGGCACGCTCAAGCGCGGCTTCCAGAACCACACGCTAATGCACGACTTAATCTCCCACAACGACGCCGTTTTCCTTGGGACCCATCTCACCCTCCAATCCTACCCTCTCGTCTGCGGGCCCCACGGGATTCCCTATCTCATCAACCTTCCTGGGCCGGGCCACCGTATCCGCGGCGAGCTCTACTCCGTTACGGGCCGATGCCTGGCCCGCCTCGACGACCTCGAGGGCATCGCCATCGGCCACTACGAGCGCCTCCCGATTCGTGTCGTCCGGGAGCGGGACGGTGCCGTTTCCGAGGACGACCAAGACGGCGTCGTTTCGGATGCCGAGGCCTACTTCGCGCACCGGAGCTTTGGGGAGGCACTGTGGGAGAGGAACCGGAGGGAGGGTCTAAGCGAGTATTCCGAGACAGAGGGACGGAGGTATGTGAAAAGACAGGATAGGCCTCATCAGGGTCGGGGCATTCTTGAGGATGTTTGGCTTTTTGTGGCTTCTTCACCGTTGGATGTGACGGAGGTATGTGAAAGGACAGGATAGGCCTCACCAAGTTGTTATATTTGCAAAACATAGTAGTTTTCACGCATCATTCCTACTCCAGTTTTAGGTTACAATTGGTTGATGATTGCGGAAAATCGCATTCTTAAGAAAGACGTGTATATGTTTATGTGTGTGCGCCAGCAAAAAATAAAAAAGGAAGTTGCCGAGATTTCTTTTTGTCCAAAAGTTTCTTGAATTAACACTTTGAATGCACACAAGCAAGTGAAGGCAGACATCAACATAGAGAAAATCCTTTCCACTTGTTTAGCTAAATGTGAATATCATTCCACAAAGAAAAAGAGGGCCGAAAGGCCTAAAGCCAACCACAGCACAAAGACAGACAGACAGACAAACTAGGAAGGCCACAACTGAAACCACCCAACAAAGAAAATGTAAACAATCAGTAAGGATTTAGCATTCATAGAAGGATTTAGCAGCATCAGGCCCTTCAACTTTCGAGATCACACAACTCCACCCTTCACCACACTTGCAGAATACTTCTCCTTCTGCCATATCTTCTAGCTCCTTCGGCAGCTTTGCGTCCTTTATCACCGTCCCATCCGCCTCTCTGTGGACCAAGATTACGGATTAGTTGGGTGCTGCTTTTGGAATCCTACATTTGCATACATATATAGAGAATTCCAACGAATTGCAAAATAATTTGCACTTTAGGGGATAATTTATGAAACTGGACTTGTTTAGTATAAGGGAATAATTTACCCACATAACACAAGTGCATTCTCCCCCACATTTGACAAAGGCCTTGCCTGCGTCTGGACCCTCCGTACGAGTGATGACGCAGCTCCACCCTACGCTGCATTTGCAAAATGCCTTTAAGCGGCTTGACTTATTTCCTTGGACCGTCGCAGAGCTGCTCAAGTTGGGAGGCACTAATGTCAGGTTCTTTGAATGAGCTGATGACAATGAATGACTAGCATCAAGATAATATACATCACATTCCAATTAAGTTGGCAAATGGCACTCTTTAATATATATGCCTATCTCGTACGAATTATATTATCAATTAAAAAAAAAAGAATATAAAATCTTCAAGAAAACAAGAAGAGCTATTATGCTAGTACTAGTAATGAATAACCATTAATGTATGAAATCATTGTTTATTTATTTCTTTATACCCAGTGATCTATATTAGTGTGTGAAATTTTTTTTTCTTTTTCCTTTCAAGAGAAAATGAAGTGATGTTATTTTTATGGGATCATGATCCTGGAAATCCTTATGCCTAAATCCAGTCACTTCAAATGTAAGTCTCTAATTGAATACTTTGGTACCATTTAGCCATATATATATATATATATATATATATAGACACGCACACATAGATACTGACGTGCTATGACATATAATATATACACTCTATATATATGTTTATATATATTATCAGTATGTATGTAGTTAATTGGTTCCAATATAGAAAGCGCAGAGGAGGAATGAAACCTGGAAGGTTGCTGGCTGATTTCCTGAGCTTCCATCTCTTTCTGCAACAATTAATTTGTGGATTGCTACAAGTTTGTGTGCTTGTTATGAACCAAGCTGACTAGTTTCTACTTGAATTGGTGATTAGCTCCAAACGAAAAGTCAAAGATGTCCTTCATTATCCAAACCGAAACAGTTTTAGACGAAGGCTAAAGTGGTCTTTAAACCATGCAATTATTCTCCCTGGAAATGTCAATTATTGTGACCAGGGTTAAAATGGCTTTATCGTAGAGGACAAAAGTGGTAAAATCTAGAGAATATATTGTTGAACAAAGCAAAGTAACACCACTATTCAACTACTACCCAGAAAAGCATTTCGACTGATCAAGCTCTTAAATTTTGTCTTCCCAACAAAAGAAAAACTCTTTTATTTGTCCTTACAAGGAGTAATTCTCCTCTTTGTTGTTCATCAAAATGTGGCAGAACAAAAAAAGTGACTAAACCCAAAGGATGTTCTTTAAGAATCTTTGGCAATTCTCTGCGTCCATTTTATACTCGGACATTGCAATGCGTTCCATCGGTTTGAACATTAGGTACTTTCTTCCTTCAACCATTGTTGCATTCCATTAAAAAGTAAATATTATTCGCATTTAATTAACTAAAATGTGTAATAAAATTAGAAAACTTTACCAGGAATCGTATGTTTTTCTTCCTCAGAAATTGAATTCCAAATGTTAGTGGGCTCGAGCCTCCGGCGTTGCATGTTAAACTTTGGTCAATTTGCACAATTTTTGTAGAGGAAAATGGAAAACAGTAATGTTCATAAACAAACTAGTACCTAAATCGCAATGGGGCGGTAATCTTATCGAGCACGCAGAGACTCGAATCCCCCTCAGAAACCGCGCAGGTCGCTACTTGACTAGAAATTTGTTCATGTACGTGTTACAACATGTGATCAAAAGAAAAGAAAAAAAAATATAAGGAAACACCTTGTATTGCTGACAAGGAATCAAAAGACTTGTTTGTCTACTTGTTCTGCACTTTTAAAGTGCATTAATTTTAGTTCGTTTTATAGATTTAAATTTTCAATTCGAGTTAAATATATTATATTTTTTAAGAATTTTTAATTGTAATAAAAAAAGTTAAATGTGATATTTTAAAAAAAAAAATTAGAATTAAAAACTCAAATCGATTAAATAAACGATGGCTTAGTTAACTAGAAAATTTAAAGTTGAATTACTACAGACCAGATACAACCATGACTTAAGCGTAGAGAAAAGATCTTTGTTATACCCCAACCCAAACCATTTTTCATTTGTCATGCCCATCACCTCTGTCTCATCAAGTTATGTAGGTCTAGCAACGTCATTTCAAGCAAACATCTCATCAGCTAGTTCGTACGCTCTTTATCAATTCTTCAGATATGTCCATATCGCATAAAATCTTTGAAATCCGTCGAATATGTGCGTGCTCTGATAGTAATTTCTAACGGTTGTAAAGGTAAAAATTCAGGCTGCTCGGGCCGATTGAAAATTTCAGGCAGACTCGTTGGCCCAATTCAATTTTAAAACTCAAGAGATTTAGGCTCCGTTTACTTCATTGATTCGAGTTTAAAATTTGAGTTGAGATGTGACTTTATGTGAGAGCTTTTTACTGTAGCAAAAAAGTTAGATGTGATTGTTTATAAAAGCTTTTTACTGTAAAAAAACTCGAATTCTAAACTCGAATATACGAAGTGAACAGAGCCTTAGAGTCCGTCTGAAATTTTATAAGGCATATTAAAAAAAACTTTTTAGAAAATGACATTTAGTTTGACTGGATTGGGCCGAACAATCTTTTAAGTTTGAAACTTTGACTCAGTCTAAATTTACTGTAACGGGCCGACTCAAATTTACAGCTCTAAACAGTTGCAATCTCCTATTCAAGCAATTATAACAAATACATCTTACCGTACCACTTTCATTAAAATAACTTTTTGCTACCTCTACGATTGTTGTTAAACCATTCCCAATTAATCAGACAAATGGTTGTTTAAATGTATACAACACTTACAAATCGACATCATTAGTCTAATATAAATAAACTGATCAAAACTAGACATGCACAAAAAGATAATGCAGATGTGTGCATGCAAACTATTATCCATCATTACTTCACATTATCTACAGGATAAGGTACTATCTCGTTCAGGATTGTAAATTATACATTGTAGGAATTATACAATATGTCCTGTCCAACGCACACCGAGAGAACATGGAGAGAAAACCGAAACCTCTACTACAAGCTGGTGCGAGTGGACATGAACAACAAACACACAACATTACAATCTCAGACTATTTAAACGTAATCCAAGATTTGGTGAGCCTTTCAATGATTCGCAAACGGTCTAAAGGTAATGTTACGAATAGATGCAATATGAATAATTATTCATGAACTTGAACGCATGTAGCGTCGTCACTAAAACGTTACTAGCACTTTTTTTTTTGGGTAAGGATCTGGGTTGGGACTTGCCAAAGCTAATCAGTAACGATCGTTGCTGCCTATTTACCTTTAAAAGTTTTGTCGCTGAAGGCTACTTGTAGTGTAATTACGTACAATTTACCACAATGATCATATCTACAATTACTTCCATTAATTTTCTTTGCTAGTAATTATATTACTTCCACTAATTTAGTTTCATTTTAAGCGTTCAGGCATAATCTCTTCAAATTAATTTTGAGAAAATCCTTCATTTGATCAACCGTCTACTTTTTTTTTTTTTTTTTTACATGTCTAATAATACAAAAAAAAAAAAAAAAAGAAAAAAAAAAGAAGAGAATTCGTCATGTCTCTGTTGATCCAAATCACCGATCTAGTGTGAAACTGAAACCCAAAAATTTGCTGAAAACAGGCCCAAAACGTCAGAAACGATCATTTGTAGTGGGAAGAATGGTGTAATCAACCAATAACTCAAGCGTGATGAACAAAAGGAATAACCCACTAGCCGAGCAAAGTGATATGGACTGGTCCCACCTATATGTCCAGCTAGAGAGGACTGATACTAGAGAATGGTCCATTGTATATGCTCTTGCCCTTCCCATGTGAGAGTCCCCACTAACTACTTGCTATAGCTTGCTACCTTTGCATGCTTATTCCAAAATCCCCAACTTGTGACCTTTACAAAGATAAGGCTATTTGGTTCCTTCAATGCAACGAAAAGGGTTTACACATCAATAGGACGAGAACAATGTACATGTACGCATCCCTTTCTTGCATATATATATATATATATATATATATATGTGTGTGTGTGTGTGTGTGTGTGTGTGTGTGTAGAGAGAGACACACACATACACGTACATATGCATGCCAGCTAGAATTTACCCGTCTTCATTGATCCGTTTCACACAATATGTTTGGTAGGTTTGATCGGTGAGAGACAAAAAATAATGTATATACATACATCTATATTATTTTCAAAATTGCTAATTGGCTCTACATTTTTATCTTCGCAATATAATGTGGCTCTGTATGGTGTGCCAACACTACATGACCATTTAGTTTACTGATTCGAGTTTTTAATTTAAGTTGAGATGTAACTTTATGTGAGAGCTTTTTACTGTAGCAAAAAAGTTAAATGTAACTGTTTATGAGAGCTTTTTACTGTAGCAAAATTCAAACTCTAAACTCGAATCGATGAAATGAACGAGGCCATTTATTAATTCATGTGGTCATGGGTCCCATATCTAAGTGATTTTTCAAGAGCCAAACGTGGAGTTTGCCACGTCATGAGGAGCTAAGCGGGGATGATAAATACCAGAACTGGTTAGCTAGAACGTCTCTATTATTTATGATATTAATTTTTGTCTTTCCTTCAATAATATTCCTTTAGAATACTACTATAACTGTAATTAGAGAGACCAAATTAGGCATAACTTTCAAACTTGATAGGACGTATCTAGTGGCCGAATGGTTTATTTACAGTATCAATGCATGCAATCATAGGCTATAAATTCTGATTGAGCGCGAATGCTATATTTTTCTTGACAGGACCAAATAACCACTAAAGAGTAAAGATTGTCCACTATATATATATACTTCTGTTGCTTTAATAAGCAAGAAAGCCCCTCAATTATTCTACCAAAAAAGAAAGCCACTCAATAAGGATCCTTGCAGCCACATACATTATGATGAAGTCCCTTAGTTTGTGGGAAAATGGAAAGAAAGCACATACATTGTTTTTAAAATAAGAACATACAAACCTAAATTTAAACAAAAATGAAAAATAAAAGAGCCGATTATACTGAAACCTCCCGTGTTTTGGCAAAATAACAGTAGCACATTTTGACCGAAACTAATCACGTCAACATCTCTTAAGCTTTCAAAAATATTACACAGACACCCCATTCGTTAGTTGACCGTCAATGTTGACCGTTAAATTCTTAAAAGATATCAAAAATAGCCTCCATATATTAGAAAATGTTTATAAGCTATATATGATACTAAAAATGTTGGTTTTACCCTTGTTTAACACCAAATGAGTTTAATTTATTTTTACACTCTTTAACATTAAATTTTCACTATATTAAATTTTTACTATAATGATAGATTTTTATTTAGTTAAGATTTAGTATTTGTGGATCAATGGATGATATTAAAAGGGTTATATTTGACATTTCCCATCAAAATTTAACAAACTTTAGTATAGGGGTGCTGACATAATTATTTTCAGTGAGGGGGTGTCTATTATTTTAGGAAAACACATGAGATGTCAGTATAATAAACCTAAAATAAAAAAGAAAACAGATTAAAAAAGCAAAACAAATAAAAATAAAACTGTCAAGGAGCGTCTTAGAGAAAATAATAACTACTTTTGTAGCGCTTAGATTGGTTATGATTTCGATTAACCCTAAGTTTATAAGGTTGTTTCTTTCTAAAGTTGTTATCCAACTTTTTCTTTTCTCAATTTTTCATCAAGTTCCGTCATTTTGTCTCAAGAACTTATAGGTACAATCTCCATACCTTCCTAAGCAATTGTTTCATTGTTGATTATTCAAGTTTTTTGAATTTGATTAGAAGGTAACCTATATTTGTTGAGGTATGTGCCCATAAATCAAATA